GGAGAGGGAGAAGCAGGCTTCCCGCTGAACAGGGAGCCCGATGCGGGGTTCGATCCCAGGACCGCGAGGTTCGATCCCAGGACCCCGGGATCATGACCTGAGCCGAAGGCAGACGCGCTTAATGACTGAGCCACCCAGGCGCCCCTGTCATGTTGTTTCTAAAGCTATACTGACTTCATTTGAAGAACTGCTAGGAGATTTCAAGTGATTGTGTGCCCCTTCTCCCTGTGTTACAATGACTTTTCTTTCTGGAAGGACAGTGATAATAAATATTAGTTTATTGTGAAATACTCTTACTATGCAATAAAGTCAAAAATTCAGTAGCTAAAATTGTCTTAAACTAGTCAGAATTTTGGGAGCAATTTTTACAGGGCCAGTTAGGATAGTGGGAGGTTCTGGTGGCTGTTGAAGGTCAAGGATTAGTCTTTGAGCTGTCCTTAATTCCCACCCTTGAAAGAGCTGAGGATGTATACCAATGAGTCTACGATTGGGGGTGGGGTGGGAGGAGGTGAGGAAAGGGGAAGGAGGTTATTTTCATGAGTTGGGGAAGACAGGAGGAACAGATGGAAAACCAAGCAAACACCTGTAATATAAACAACATAAACAAATGCACTTTGTAAAACTCCATTAAGGCAAATGGAAGCTCTAATAGGGGAGATTCAATTATGTTCAAATACAGGCTAGGAGAAATAGGTCTCAGATTCGTTTCGAAGCACTTTTCTTTGTCCATCTACTATGCACAAATGCTTTGAAGTAGTGGACGTTCAGGAAAAGAAGACAGAAGTGGACAAGGGGTGGAGGGAGGGTGATATGTGGGCTGGTCAGACAGGGGGGCGTGGTGAGCAGAGGCCACGGGACATGCGGGGTTGTAATGAGTAGCACCAGCACTGTGTAACTGACTGCCTTATAAGCAGGGAACATGGAGTATGTCTGGACTGGAGGACTAACAAAGTTAGCAAAGCAATACACAGCAGAGATGGTTATACAATAAATCAAGTAATTTGTATTTTCCCAGTTCAACCATGGGCATGTGGCATTGAGGACCAGGCTGGGCAGGTGGTGGAGGAAGATGAATGACAAGGAGACAGCAGGCTGATGGAAGTGAATAGCCAGCTAGCAGCAAACACAAACAGGAGAAGGAGGGAAGGAAGGACAAAGAGAAAGGGAAATAAAATTCTATTGCTGGCTCTCTTGTTATTTTAGCAACCTAGTACGCATGTAAACAATCAGTGTAGGAAATGGAGGGTAAGAAATCCTAGCAATATCTGAAAAAGGTTTCAGAATGAAGAAAATCCAGAGTGTTCTCTACAAAGAAGGCAAGGGTAAGAATAATGTAAATTATCACACACACACACACACACACACACACACACCCTTCTAATGCCCTCTGCAGGCAAAGGTAATCAACCTGCTTCTTTAAGATTCTTCCAGAAGGGAATAGCAGTTGTCAAGGTGAGGGATGAGAGGGCATGGCTTTTCAAAGAGGACCTCAGAGAAATAAAGAAAAGTGAGAAATGAGGTGGAAAGGCAGTCAGGGGCCTTCTCGTCATGTTGAGAAGGTTGGGCTGCATCCTGAGGGTGATGAGGAGTCATGGAAGGGTTTAGACATGGGGAGAAAGCACAGAGGGGATGGTGAGGCTGAAGGCAGAGAGGCTGTTGCAGGGAAGAAATGAGGGATGCACGGCGTAAAACAATAACAGGGTGAGTAAAACAGATTTTAGACATATGTAGTTCAGGGAATTTATAGGATTTAGTGGTTGATCACTGGTTCGGAGGAGGAGGAGGATGACTTGTAGCTTTGGGCAATGAGGCAAAAACTAATGCTAAATAACAATATACACAAGAGTAGAGAGGATGTTTAGTATCCCAGGGAAATCCCTAATAGTTATAAAGCCAAAGGGAACTCTGACTTCAGATTTTGCTTATAATTTTAGTTATACTTAAATGACCAAAGACAGGTATCCTTTCATTTAAATGATTAACAGACCTCCTTTGGGAGTTTATTCTAATATTTCCATAACCTATACCATCAAGATAGACCTACTGTTATAGTGATGATGTGACCAAAGATGTCTATAATAATATGCTGTCTTTTCTTTCCGTATAGCACCCTGTAAACCCAGAAATAAGTCTGAAATGGTATCTAAAATTATATGGTACTTTATAGCCTATCTACATCCATTATTTCATGTGAGCCTTGCTGGGGAAGCTCCCTCCTTCCCTCCTTATAAGTGTGAAGGCCGGGACAGCTTGCGGGAGAGCCACAGGCAACCTGCAGAGACAGTTAAAAGTTATAAACCAAGTTATCGTCCTACTTTGACAAAAATTTCTTCATAACCACAAGAATGGAAAACATGTATAAAGTTGTGTTTTTATATGACTGAAAATTGGCAAAATATCACATATGACTAAATTTAATTATCCTTGTTCATGCCTCGGCATCCACCTGAGCTGGCAATATTCAGATGGATAATAAAATGATGACCTGAGTCATAAACTATTACATACTTATTTAAGAAAACTTATTTTTTAATTTTCTTTTTAGTAAAATCATAAATTGTGCTGTTATAAGCGAGATTTTCATAACTGGTGTTCTCTTAACAATGATACCAGGGGCCCTGGGTGGCTCAGTCTGTTGGACGTCTGCCTTCGGCTCAGGTCACGATCCCGGGTTCCTGGGATCCAGCCCCGCCTCAGGCTCCCTGCTCTGCGGGGAGCCTGCTTCTCCCTCTCTCTCAGCTGCTCCCCCTGCTTGTTCTCTTTCTCTCTCTGTAAAATAAATAAATAAAATCTTAAAAAAAAAATGATACCAAATGAGACCGTCTTTCTTGAGTCAGCATAGCTCTTTGGTAGTTTTTTAAAATTAATTTCAATTTGAAAAAGCTTCACTTTGCAAAGACAGAGTTGAAAATAAACCATGAAATTTACTTATCCTGTTCAAACACTGTAACGAGATCTCATTTAATGAACTATTATTGCAGAACCTGTTCTAATTTCATAAATAAACAACTATCACTTAAATTGCCATTTTAACTATTTCTTAATGTAATGAGAACCAACTAGTGTGAAATGTGCAGAACCAATATCACACTTCTAGACCCACACATCTGCAAGTCTGAAAATAATATGAATTGTTTAATGTTGCAAATATTTCTGTTTCCATGTGCATCTGTAATGCATACAGTGCTCATGTGTGAGTACCTCTGGAACTACGAACAGAGAAGCAAGAAAATTGACATTCAACACTACAAGGGAGCCACACTTCGTTATTCAAGAATTGCATTCACGCCGCATGAAAGAAAGGATCTGACAAGTTAATTGATTCATTCATGTTCTTATTAAGCCAAATATTTCTGCTCTTCAAAATCTCACCGCACTCTGAAGCAGTGCACATCTCTCCATAGTGGTAATGGCCACGATCACAGCATTAAGCACACTTGTGTTTTGTTTTGAGGACATACGGTGAGTGGAGAAGCATTTCCCTCAAGAGTTCTTCCTGAGAGCAGTGTTCAGCGTTATCGGTGACCAGTTTCCAAGGGGAAGGCACCCACGTCTTCTCTCCTTTTCTTGTAATGGCTTAATGGAGGTATAACTCACATGGCATAAAACTCACCCCTGAGAGTGGTTTTTAATACATTTACCCTAAAAAGAAACCCTGTACCTGTTAGCAATCACCTCCTACACCTCCCTCCCTACCAGCCTACTGGCAAATACTAATCTACTTTATATCGCTATGGAATTGCATATTCTGGATATTTCATTTTATTTTTATATTTTATTTTATTTTTTATTTATTAAGATTTTATTTATTTATATGACAGAGAGAGAGGGGTGGGGGGCAGCACCAGAGAGGGAGAAGCAGACTCCCTGATCGATCCCAGGGCTTGATCCCAGGACTCTCAGATTATGACCTGAGCCAAAGGCAGATGCTTAACCGACTGAGCCACCCAGGTGCCCCTGGATATTTCATTTAAATAGAATCATATAAAGGTAGCCTTTTGTGTCTGGTTTCCTTCACTTAGCATAATATTTTCAAGGTTCATCCATGTTGGGGCAAATGTCAGTAGTTCATTCTTTTGATGGCTGAATTATATTCCACAGTAAGGATACCACATTTTATTTATTCATCAGTCAATGGACATTTGGGGTGTGCCAACTTTTTGGCTATTACGAATAATGCCACTATGAACATTTGTGCACAAGCTTTTCTGTAGACATGTTTTCGTTTCTCTTGTGTCTATACCGAGGAATGGAGTTACTGGAACACGTGGTTACTTTATATCTAATGTTTTAAGGAATTAACCCAAAGGCTTTACAAAATAGTTGTGCAGTTTTACAATTCCACCAGCAACATATGAAGGTGCCAATTTCTCTACATCTTTGTTAACACTTGTAATTCTGTCTTTTTTATTATAGCTATCCTTGTGCTGTGTTGTTGTGCTAAACCCTTCACAAGTGTTAACTCATTTGATCTTCCCGATATTGCTATATCCAGAAAAGGGAATTTAGGCTTAGCGAGGTTCAGTAACTTGCTCAACACTAATAAACTGAAAAGTGCCAAAGCTGTAATTAGAAATATGCTACACAAGTAAAACAGTCTTCGAACACTCAAGGGAATGAAAACAATTTGGGCAAATTCCACCTCCCTCCCCTTTTTAACAAGACTGAGTTTAAAACCTTCTGTTCTATCCAAGTTAGTCTCCTGTTGATGTCCTGAATCCACTCCTGCCTTATGCTTCAGAGCTAACTGGTACTGGGACCTAATATTGAGAACAAAGGGAGAAAGAAATAATCTTTTCAATTAAAGCAAAATTTTCCATTTAGCCTCTGATAATTTGTAAATATTAATTAGGAATTAAAAAAATCATTAAGAAAAGAAATTTGGAAGCTTTATTTTCCAAGTATGATCTTTATTATTCTTGGTCCAAAATTGTTTCCAAGATACACATTTCCACATTCTTAATGAAGTCAGTGGAAATTGACTTCAAAGCCAATTTTTTATGTTTTAATTCCATGAATATACATGCCACCTTTTAAACTTCTAATTTGCCCTAATTTATAATTATGAAATTTATATATATTTTCATATTAAGATAATAGTTAAACAGAAATATATCTTTTAATGTTTGTTCTCAAAAATAGAAGTGTCACCATTCGTAAAAACATGGCAATAAAGTAAATGCAGTTAACTCAGTGTTTAGAGAAGACTTGGAATAAACTATTTTGACTCTTACGTGAGGAATCTGATTTCCAGGGCTATGTGCTATTTAAGAATAAACTTGCACATGAGTACAGAAAATCCCAAGGGTCTATGTTCGATGAGATGTCCCTGGCAGAGGCACCAAGAGGAAGATGCTGCTCATATGTCTGAACTAAAGATTGTCCTCTGTGAGTGTCTGTGATTCACAGATGGTGATATTCAATAGAGAAAGGGCTGAAGGAAGTAGGAAAGGGTATCTGTAGAATTAAACAGTGAACCCAACACTTTCCTTCTGACCACTTCCTTACTGCTTCTGAAGTATCTTAGTGCTTGTGAGAAGAAAGGCCGTCTTGAAATGAGTGATACAAAAGCTGCTTTACCAAAAACAGGACCCCTTCAGAGAAAACAAAGTTTTGGAGGAAGGTTGGTAGGGAGAAATGATTAAATTGGAGGAAAAATTTGTTCTGTTTTAGACATTACACATTTGTAGTGTGGGACATTTCATGAGTACTCTATATTATCCTCTATTCACATGGAACCATTTCTGAAAATTTAATTATAGAATTCAAACATGCAAAACTTAACATACTCATTATTTAAGTTTATTGAGATATAATACATATGCCATACATTTCACTCATTTAAAGTATATAACAACTATCTTACTTACAATATCATACAGAAGTATGTATAATACATATAGTGTATTATAAAGTGTAGGGCCTCGTGGTGGTAGGGTTTAAATGTGGTAGAGAAGAAATTAGAGAATTTATTAAATAATACCATAGGATCCAAATAATTATTTTAGCTTTCAAAATATCTGATAAATCTCTATGTTAAATGTGTTTTTCCAACATCCTTGCTTTAAGGAAGGAAGTTAAAGATGTTTGCCTCTCCAGAAGTTTAAATGGAGCTATAAAACTCCCATCCCCTCTTGTGGTGTTGATAGGGTTATTTTCATATTATTAATACATGAAGAAAACTGTTAAAAGTTTTGAAGCACAACTTCACAAGATTTGGAATATAGCCAGCATATAGTGAAAATTTTATAATTTGTTTCCTCTTATGACTTTTTTGGTTAGGTACATGGAAGTCAGTGTCATAGTTCTATTTTTCATTATTGGTGGTAAATACTAGAGTTTTAGCAGGTGATAATCAATCAGGCCCTTTTCCTTGATTTGTGTTTCTACGCAAATGAGAAATTAGATGAACGAGTCAGACAGAAATGAAAATATCAGCTTCATTACTGATAAAATTGATTGGAAAGCAAGGCTTAGGTATGTAGCCACAAGGGTTTCCTTGGATCATTATGATGAGGTTTGGTGCTAGTGCTAGAAAACTGAAAATAACAGTGGCATAAATGAGGGAGAGACTCTCACCTAAAAGTCCAGAGGTATTAGATCAGGACTGATAGAGTTCCAGAGTATCTGGCACCCAGACTCCTGTCAAGTTTGTTCATTAGCTATGTATGGCCTCCTTTTCTAGGGTCATTTTGGGGTCTGGGATGGATGCCCCAGCTCCAGCTATATGCATACACTCTAGCCAACAGGAAGAAAGAGTGGGATAAGGAAAAATGTCTCCATTTAAAGACACACCATTTTTTGCTTCTGTCTCATTAGCTAGAACACAGTCACTTAGCCACATCTAACTAGGAAAAGTACTCAGCTAAAAAATGAGAATTCTACTATAGAAGGGGAGAAGGGGTATTGCTAGACAATTTATAGTCTCTGCCGTATTCCTGAGTTAAACTTCTGCAGCCAGACAGAGGCAGAGTCAGACAACCACCAGCCTCCCCTATAGTGAAATGCAAGTGCTTAGCACAGAGCAGAGACTTACCTGGAGGCTAAAGTGCTTGAAAGAGAGGATCTGGGAAGGGGCTGAGCCAAACACATTCAGTTCCTTCTCACTCTCACCCACTGAGAGAGGCCTAATGTGTTCCTCCCATGCTTTTTGCTCCTAACTCATGTTTGGCTTTTCTAAGGGGCAGAACAGTGAACTGTCATAAGGCAGGAAAGCAGCACATGATTTGGCACCACAATAACAAGGTTTTCTTATTTTCCTGGGATCTAGCCTTTCTTTGTCTTCACTGTCCATTAGATTAAGAAATCTTCCTGAATAGTCATAAGAGAGTTCTTCTTCGGGCAAAATGTCTTTGGCTGCAAAAAGTGCCAACTTTGGTACCATTGAGTCGATTCGGACAGGAATCATCAACAGGTTTGGCTCACAAGAATGGTTGAGAAATCTTCCAATACTTCCTATATAGGCGGGATCAACAAATGTTTCTATGACCTGCCCGTTGTAAACATGTTCTCTGACGGCTATAATGTAATTTGGATCGTGTATTGTTTGTAACTGAATTCTTCTCTGTACTTCAGAATATCCCAAAACTTCACCAGCATATTCACAGACAAACCGTCCTTTTGGTATCAATTCCAAGGTACGAAGTCCCCAGCCTTTTTTGTCCGTCTTGAACACCTGGAGTTGGAACTGCAGACCCTGCTGGACCACCCTGTTCCTGCAGTGGTCACTGCACTGACATAGGACGTTGCATTCAAATACTGGCTTGGCACACTTTCCTTCCGATCCTATATCTCTAAGGCGTGAATTATCATCATAGTTCTCCCCATGACGGAGACAAGAGCAAGTACCAGGGAGGCAGGGGGTTTTGAGGCAAATGCATCCAGGAAAGGTTATTTGTGTGGGATCAATGTCTGTTCCAGGTCCAGCTACATGGTCAGGAGTATACTGCAAAAAATAGAAATGCTCTCAGCATGGTATGTTATGTATTTCATATATATTTCAAGCAGCTTTTGGATGAGACGCTTCTTAATTCCAACATATATAAAAATAGACTAAAACAAAATTGACAAAACACAATATACTAAAATATCGTTTGAAAACATACCTCTTCAATTTAAAAAATAAGATTAATTTTTGGATTAAAATTCTGTGGTTTTATTCTAGGTATGCGGTAACAAAAGGACAAAAAAATGTTTTTCCCTTATCAGAAATTGAAAGATTTGTAACTAATTTTGTTTTCCTCTTAGCTATGGTTATCAGAAAAATCAGTGCTGAATTTAGTTTTTGAATGCATTTAAGTATTTTATCTTTGGCTCTTGATCTTTTCACATTTATCTGACAATATAAATGCATGTATTTTATTGTGTGTCACTGCAGATGCTTTTTGGGGAGAAGAAAGTCATAAATGATAAATAAATTAATAAAAAATGACCTTTGGGAGAGAGTCTTCCACTGATTTTTAAGGAATTCTTAATTTGAAGATTACCTAAATTCCTAAATATTCTTTGATGTTTAAAAAAGACACTACTGCTTCAGAGTTTTATTTGAGTCTTCATAATGTTAAAAATAGGCATTGGCCAAGAAACTGCAGACAGAATTCCAAAAATCATATTTGTTATATAGATATTAATAAATGTAGATGTATTATATATGTAAAGAAATCCTGTTTTTATTAAATGATAAAGAGATAATACCGAAAAGTTTCTCACGTTACAGAAAAAGAATAAAGCCCCAAGTCTAAAATCTCTATGCGAAACCTGATCTCTGGTTGTTTCCTCACTAGCATAATTAAGCATATTTTCCAAACCTTGAAGATTAAAGTATCTCTCTTGAGCCCAGCATATTTCTTTATGTATAGAATAATTCTTGCTTACATGGAACCTAACTCCTTTATTTATACCTGCTGTTAGTGTTCTTGGACCCAGTTTCAACGCAGTGGTCGTCGTGGTGTGGAATTTCCCCACACCTCTAACAAGCAATGCTTCGAGCACCAGGTGGGTATCCTACAACTCAGCTCAGTTCTAATGCTATCCAATAGCATCACACCCCACAGTTTAATGGGTCAGTCCTAAGACTGCCCCCCCCCACTTCAGACACCAGGCACAAGCTCAGGTTGTCATCTGTACTACTGACTGATGGGCTATATATCGGAGCTTCCCATGACCTCCTCCTTGGACTTTAGACACCGGTCACAAGTCCAGGTTGTTACTTGAACTTGTGGCCGACAGGCTGTAAGTCAGAGGTTCTCAAAATCCCCTCCTTGGGTTCAATTAACTTGGGAGAATTGCTCAGGGAACTCAGAGAAAAATTTTACATACTAGAAAAGGATACAACTGAGGAACAGCCAGATGGAAGAGAGGCATAGAGCAAAGTATGGGGAAAGAGAGAAGAGCTTCCATGCCCTCTCTGGGCATGTCACACTCCCAGCAGCTCCACGTTCACCAACCCAGAAGCTCTTTGAACTTTGTTTTCTTGGGTTTTTATGGAGGCTTCATCACTTAGCCAGGATTGATTAAATCACTGGCTACTATTTGCAAATGTTTCAACCTCTAGGCCCCTCTCCCCATTGGAGGTCGGGGATGAGGGTACCGAAAGTTCCAACACTAATCAGATGGTTGGCTCAGCTGGCAACCAGCTCTCAGCTTTTGGTGTGTTTCCAAAACTCGCCTCAGTAACATAACATAAGATACCTTTTTGCTGCTCTTATCATTTAGTAACTAACAAGGGTTTTAGGAGCTCTGTGCCAGAAATCGGGACAAAGACCAGATATAGATTTCTTTTTATAGATCACAACATAACCTGCTTTGTTCCAAAAAGGATTTAATGAGACATACAAAGAGTTCAGATAAATGAACAATACATAAGAAATGTACAGCGAAGGGAAAAATAAGAGCTAGTTGAGCGAGCTTAGACACACACAGTGTGTAGCAGAAGTAAACTGGACTTTTGGTTCTGCCTGAGCATAGCCACTTCCAAGAGGGAAATGCGATCAGATGCAGGGCTTGCACTATCCATAAGGAATAATCTCACCATTGAGAACGAGCATTGACTTTTTCCACTATGGAGACTGGAGAGAAATTTCACCAATGTGTCTGTCTAAACCATTCTTCTCCAGAAAGCAGTTTCATGGGCTGTTTTTCATTCTGACTCTCAATAAAGGCTACTGGCATGGGGCCACAGCAGTCAGTAAGAGCCGTACTGCAAGGGACCAGGTACACAGGCTTTAATTCAGGGATAGATTTTAGAGTATCTAGAGGAATGTCTGAACCACGTTATTTTTCACTCAATCATCCATTAATACTGCGTCTCTGGGCCAAGTTTTGGGGAAAGTATTAAACAACGTGTAGTTACACTCCCTGTGGAGGCCTCGGTGGAGCTATGCAGTTAGGCTCAAAATCCTATATTTTAAAAAAACGTTAAGCTGGGGAAAGGATTGACATCCTCTTGTGAAAGATGAGGAGGATGATGAGTGGGAGTACCTGCGGGGGAAGGCCAACACTGCTTAAGAAGTGATTTGGGGGTGGAGAGCGGAAATAGCTTCGCGTTTGTGTCGTTTCTTTCAAAATGAGCTTTAGCTTAGTGGAGATGTCCTAAAGGGATAAAGAATGGCTTAGAAAAAGATGCCCTATCAGTCAAATTCAATGACTGCGGTCTGAGACAGAATCTACTTCCAGCTTTTAAGAGTCAAGGTTGAAATGTAAATGGTTACTGAGACATTTTAAAAAGTACTTGTAAAATGAAAATTTTACTATCTCTTTGTTAAACTTTCCATGAAGAATTCTTTTAAATTGATTTCTTCTTAAAAGCGCACATATTTTTGATGTACTATATAAATCACTAAACTATAAAGTGATTTTTTTTTTTTTTTTTGACACAGATAACTCCTTTTGAAATCAAGTCTGGCTTACCGTAGTCTTCTAACCAGAAGAGCATATTATTCTTTGTTGAACTTATTTGGATATGGATAGGTTTGGAAAAATACTGTTATTTGCTTATTTTTATTTATACATTTAAAAAAAGACACTGGAAAATCTAGTGATACCGTTTTTAAAAATTCTGGAATTTAAACTTGATGCACAATCTAAGATCTTTTAGAGACATAGATTATAAAGGGTATCTAATTCCAAATGAGCTGCAGACACCTTCCAAAGGATAACAGAGACCTCTGTATAAACTTCCTGTTTAAAGAGAATTATTTGTTTTCCCTTGATGGATGTAATCCTTAACCCTGATACCGATACTTATCACAAATCATTTTATCTCCATATTTTCCATTTTCTCCTCCATAAACAGTCAGTAAAATACCACTCCAGAAAGATATTTCACCTGATTTAGAAAAATGGCTATACTAGAGAATTATCTTTTGAAAACTGTGGTCTAAATTAACATATGATTATGTAATTATTCATCTTTTTAGGTATCTAACTACATATTGGAAAATTATTTTCAGAAATAATCTGATGTCACTGATCTGATATTCTATTCAAATATTTATATGCCATGCAAATTGTTAACTTTTGAGAATCTGAAAGCTAATGTTAAGTACGTTACAAATTGGGAGTCAACTGACTTGAGCTTAAATGCTCCCAATTTGTAACTCTTTCCAAAGTTTGTCCTCTACTTCCTGGAACAAAGCCCAGGGCCAAACTGATCCAAAGGGTGTTACCCTGAGGGTTTTGTGCTTACTCTAAACCCAGGAGAGATCAAAGCTTGGGGAAATGAGACCAGAGAGGACATATTTTTACCCATCCAGCATCTGTTCCTTTTCTTCTGATAAAAGCACCCTGACTCCTCCTGGGGGAACCCTTCCCAGTCCAGTCTCATTGGTTTGGATGGGGATCCAGGTTGGGCGGGGACCTGGACCCAGCTAATCAGGTCATCAACTGCTCCTTTCAACCGTGTTTGGTTCATGGATCGGCACAGTACTTAAGCCAGATCAATGAAAAAGAATTCTGAGACTTCTGCTGAAATGATCAGGAAGAAACAATCTCACTCTACCTGTTTACCTGGCATTCTCCAGTTCTACTGCACACATAAGACCTACTGAGGGTGTAGCCAACCAGATGAAAGGGGAGCAGGGGTGCGAATGGCGGAGGTGGTAGAAAGAAATATTTGATGACACCATTAGAGTTCTTGGATCCAGACATGCCTATAGTTACCACTCTTGGACTTTGCTGTTATGAGGCAATTCCTTCCCTTTTTGGCTTGAGTTAGTTTGTATTGTATTTCTATTTCTTGCAAGCAAATGACTCTTGATTGATATGCCCACAGTGGAAGGCTGACAATGGTTCCAGGAAATGGCTGGAAAATTGAGTCAAAGATATAAATGGCTAATGAGAATTCAGGTCTCCAACTGGGAGATCAGGCTAAGATAAAGTGTGCAGGAGGCCAGATAGGCCTGTGACAAGCCTGAACACTGGACAACCAATAGACAACTTCTTCTTCTTCTTCTTCAATTTCTTTATTTTATTCTTAAAAAGATTTTATTTATTTGACAGAGAGAGATAGTGAGAGCACAAGCAGGGGGAACGGCAGGCAGAGGGAGAGGCAGGCTTCCCGCTGAGCAAGGAGCCCGATGCGGGGCTCGATTCTGGGACCGCGGGATCATGACCTGAGCTGAAGGCAGACGCTTAACCGACTGAGCCACCAAGGCGCCCCTATGGAGAACTTCTTAATGTAGAACATGGAATGTCCTAAAGGAGACACACACAGAACTAGGCTCTTATTAGCATTGTGACTTAGGGCAAGTTACCTTCTAAGTTTTGGGTTTGCACCTATAAAACAGGAATAATACCTGTATCTGCCCCCCAGCCCCAGGTATTATTATTATTATTACTTCTTAAAGATTTTATTTATTTATTTGACAGAGAGAGCAGGAGAGCACAAGCAGGGGGAGCAGTAGAAGGAGGGAGAAGCAGGCTTCCCGCAGAGCAAGGGGCCCGATGTGGGGCTCGATCCCAGGACTCTGGGATCATGACCTGAGCCAAAGACAGATGCTTAACCATCTGAGCCACCCAGGCGCCCCAGCCCCAGGTATTATTAAACTTAAATTACACGGTACTCTGTGCCAGGCACTTTATATTTTTAAAATAGTAGCTTCCTTAAAGGCTTCTAAATATTATTTCTAGATTTTATATTTAAAACATCATATATTTCTGGCACATCACTTAATCTCTCTAAATATTTCCTTTCTATCTGTCTCACAGTGGCTGTGAAGGAAAAAAAAAAAGAGAGTCCATGTAAAAAGCTTACTCTAGTGGCTGGCACATAGGTGTTCAATATTAATTATGTAGGCTACCTGGGAGGGTGGTGAAAACAGCAGATTCTGAAGTTAAACTTTCTAGGCTCAAACACAGTTAAACCAAAATTTTGTCTAGGAGACGATGTCATTATATTTCTATTTTCTATTACTTATCCGTCTTGAGGGGGGGAAACTAAGAATTGATCCAGCACAGACTTCTTTCATTCATCTACAAATACTGCCTTACTGCTTGTTAGATGCATGTGCTGGGATTTAGAAAGAACCAGTCAGAAGAATACAGAGAAGACACGGAGAATAGGATTTTTATCATTTCTTTGTATCGTAATAACATAAACTACTTTTTCCTGGTATGTATCAAAATGCAAACACTGATCATGCAAGAGTTGGGAATAAATGCAAAATGACCAGTGTAAAACGATGTAACAGAAACCAGATCCTTGAAGAACTGGGCGGAGATTTCAAGTTTCTTGACAGAAAACTTAAAACATTTTTTTTTTTATAAACCATGGTCACTCAAGAAGCCGAAATGGAAACCAGGAGACAGCATGTTGAAAAGCAAATATACCTCCTTGGCTATTCTCATACACAATTTCTCTCTTTTCTGAACTAGACCTGCACTTATTAATAGCATAAACTTTGGGATCTAAATGGCATAGGCTATAGGGCTCTCTGGTTGTACTACATGTGTAAGTCTTGTCTTTCTAACAAATACATGTCTCAAGGAAATGGTCATGTGGTTTGGGATATGACATGGTAATGGGAGTTGAGTTACTTTTCATAGTACTGGGCACAAAGCAGCAGGCTTAGGGAATATTTTTTGACTGCTTGATTGTAGCTTTTGATAACTTCTTACCGAAAGTCTGACTTTTTTAAGTCACATTCTGTATCAAAGCCCCAGAAACTTAAGTATGACACCGCATAATATTTTGGGCTTAAAACCTAGGCCTTGATTCTGAATTTAAAGGAAGTGCTGTGAAAATCTTCATTCCTTTTTTGGTTGTTTTGAAACACCAGCTACATGAATCTTTGTACTTGGCCTCTACCCCATGAGTTTGTTTTTGCTCCAAGCTATTAAGAGCCTGTGAGCCAGATAATTCTTGTCAAGGCCAAGTTGAAATCTTAAAAAATATGTTTAAGGCTGGTTTCAGAAACCTGAAAAAAGCCTAGATTCAACTCTCCATTCAAGAAAATCAATTAGTTTATTTTCTACTTGGCTTTCAACACAGATGGCATTATGATAGGTTTGTTTTCAGTGTGAACATGTGAATGTTCTTTTTGCCTTTTCACACAGTACTCAAAAGCAAACTAGACACAGAGTTATTTTTACCTTGAGTTTTTTATGCCTTAATTCTTATGTGTGTACATGCCTGTGAAGGCAGGGCTTGGGGTAAGCAAGCTGTTTTGATCTTTCATAAGACAGGTTTTGTGCTCCATGAATATAGGAAAGCAAACTAGTTAAAGACACTTTTAGGCTTGTCATAAATATGTTTCAAGCATGTTTTATCTTCTTGGTAAGACTATAAGTTCCTTGACGAAGGAGCTTATCTTCTTTCTGTAACTCTAACTCCACCCAGAGCTACGCATGTAGCCAGGCAGCTAGAATACTGAGGGACTGAGTCTTAGTCTCGAGATTTTCATTTATGCCTATCAATTGTAGATATAAGGATCAATCATAAGGCTTCCTCTCTCCCCTCTCCAGCCCCCCCATAGCAACTAAGTGCTTTCTATATGGTCTTGTAAGCTCAAAGGCAAGGTTGTCACCATTTTATCTTCTATGTCTAGCTTAACGCCTAGCAGATTATACACACTCAATTACTTGCTGAATAAAGAAAACATTTTTCAGTGTTTTTGACCATTTAGCAATGATTGGTTTTGAATAAGCTTTTAGGGATTAGTGTTTAATATGGTGCGAGCCAACTGTATTATTATTTAGATTTTATTTATTTGAGAGAGAGAGCAGAACGAGAGACAGAGCACGAGCAGGGGGTAAGGGGCAGAGGTAGAGAGAGAAGCAGATCCCTGCTGAGCAGGGAGCCATGGGATCATGACTTGAGCTGAAGGCAGACACTTAACTGACTGAGTCACCCAGGCACCCCTAGTCAACTGTATTATTAACCATAAAACTGGGGCACATAGGGCTCCCTGCTCAGTGGGAAGCCTGCTTCTCCCTCTCCCACTCCCCCTGCTTGTGTTCCCTCTCTCTGTGTCTCTGTCAAATAAATGAATAAAATCTAAAACAAACAAACAAACAAACAAAAACCACAAAACCATAAAACTGCCCTCAGGTAGTTTGAGGAAAAAGAACCTTTCCTGACATTAATATCCTGCTTTACTCTTTGAAAACTGCTAGTGAATTTACTGTTTTATTTGATCTTCACAACAACCCTAAGAAGGAGAGACACACAGGGCTTAGTATTGATGGTGTATGTGACCAAGGTTATAAATTTATTATTTTCATTTCGCAGATGAAGAAGCTCAGACTCCAAAAAATAGCCAAGATGGCTCAGCCCTGAACCTCACTCTCCTACCTCCAAGTCCAAGTGCACCTTCCACTCCAACATCATTGTTTTTTTGGTCGTATTCCATAGACAATGAGCAGGCCAAGGTCAGAGGGGTGGGGAATGTAGAGCGTAAGGGGTTTTGATGTGGTAAGAGCAGTGGAACATTTATTGGGTTCTTTCAGCCAACCAGGAAGTGTGTTTTACTTGTAATTCTCAAAGCAATCTGGGAGAGAGGCACTATTATTTTAATCGTAGACGGGAGGATTGATTCTAACGCTTAACTGAGGCTAGTTTATATTTGCCCAAGCCCTCATAGCATGAGGGAGACTCAGGAAAGTCTCATTGTAGGGACCGAGTTTTTAACCCTAACACTAGGCTGAGATCCACTGATAGGGCCCATGCCTTATCTTACAGAGGAGACACCTGGGACCAGAGAGGTAAATGACTTGCCCCCAATCCCTCAATGAGTACTGGGGAGAGAGCCAGGAAAAGAAAGACAGGTTCTCAGGGCTCTTTCCAAGGGACCTCACGAAACACCTGGTTTGTCCTTCAGGGAACTGCCGGTCTGTGGAGAGAAAAGATACTCCTGCTATTGCTAAGGTCATTACGGAGGGTTAATAGAACAAGACCAAAACCTGTGCATTTAAAGAGCTATCCCTGCGCGAAACAGCTCTGCGACAGGGTAAGAAAAAAGTCGAGAATACGGAGACAACTTGGGATAGGAGAGTCATCCACAGAATCACTGCGAGGTCGGGAAACGGCACACTGGGTCCTCGCCTCCATCCATCTCCCCTACCTGGCCGGGCGCCAGCTCCACCCCCGTGGCTGCGCGCGCGCAGTGCGCGTGCCGGGCAAGGCTCGCCCCAGAGAGAAGGGCGCCCGCCCCCCAACCCCCATCGCGCTCTCGGCGGCCCAGCTCCGCCCCCTACCTGGAAGGGCTCTGGCTCCGCCCCCGGGGGCCACGCGCTCACGGGCACGTTCTCCAAGCCGCGCGCGACATCCAGCTGCTCAGTAAGGGCCTTAGGCCCCTCCTCAGTCCCTGCCATCCCGCATGGCCACCTCTCTACAGCTTTCGCGGACATTTCGCGCCATCTCGATGCGCATGGCGCCTAGACGCTTTTGAGCCTCGCAGAGGAAGCTGGGAATCGTGGGACGCGCGGCCCCGCCGCCTCCTGGGAGTCGTAGTTTTTCTCTCTCCTTTCACAAGTGGCCTGTGAGGGCGTCTCCTCTCTCGACCCTCAGCTTTCCTTGACTTTTTGGATTGGCTCGCTCTCTTTTAAGCCAGATGCACAACAAATAATACAAAGCTTTGGAAGGTACGGACATAGTTTTGGAAATACAAAATGAAGTGCTTTAATTTTTCCCGTGAGCCTCAGGAAGGGTTTGCGAGGTGAGGTCATTTGTCCAGGTTTCTGAGGGCCCGGAAGATTGCTGGGGTGAGGGCAAGGGCGCGCTCTAAGTTGAGGGGGGAAATGCACACCACGGTTTCTAAAGTTCTGGAACTCGCGTAGCAGTTGGGTGGCGTGTGATAGGGTTTGTTCTCCGTCGGCGGAATAGCGGTATAGGGCGCCCGAAGGCCTGTGTGGGGACGCCCACTCCTGGATTGAGTTAATCTGTTGCCTATCAGCTTCCCCTTTCCTAGAAAGAAAAAACCCGGCCCCGACAAAGGATTCTGATAACCTCGAAATTGCTGGATCCAGTGGAATATTTCCAAAGCTCTCTGCCCGATTGTCCTGCCACATCTACTTGAAACCCTGTGTCCTTGCAGCTTCTGCGGCACCGGTCCTGGATGCGCTGCCTTCTGGCAGACTGTCCTTCTCCCTCCTGACTGAAATGTCGGTGGGTGTCACTCAGGTTTCTGCCCCAGGCCCTTTTCTCGCCTTGTCTGGGCTTCCTCAGTAATAGCATCTCGCGACGTGGCTTCAGATACTGTTAAAAAGTATTAGGTCTTCTGTTTCCAGCTCAGATGATACGGATAACCGCTTAGCTCCGGTTGTGGATAGCCAACTGATGATTGGACATCTCTACTTTCTGTCTTACAGACACCAAGAACTCACAATGACCTGAGTGGACTAATCCTTCCTTTTCTCCTTTAAAATAAACTGGGCAAATAACTTGTCCACGATCGCCGAGTTATTAAAGCAACAAACCAAAGCATTTCCCTGTATTTCTTCCTCACCTTAGACCTCCATAGCTACGAGCTTCCTGGCCAAATCTTGTTGATTCTACTTTTGTAATGTTTCGCATTTTCATTTCTTTTTCCTTAGTCTCAGGCTCTGGTTTCTTCCTTGGATTCTTGAAGTTATTTTTTTCAAGTCTAACATTCTCCCAAATCACCTTTATATTGCTTCTATAGTCTTTGAGGTTGCACGTCCCATTGTTACATTGTTTAAAATCCTGTGTTTATATGCACAGTGCTATGTTTACAGATTTGGGGAATGTACCCACGAAGAAGACATGATGCCCCGGGAGAGTTCCATTCCAGCAAACAAATAATTACATACACCCAGAAATTAATAAGAACTATGAGTATTATGAATAAATAACTATAGGTCAATGAGAAAACTCTTCTGTATTTGAGATTATCATGCTGTTTTTATTATTACTATTTTTTTACTCTTTCTTGGTAGTATTGTCTGCCCTTTGGAATGATATTTTGAAGGATCCATTTTATTTTTTTCCTGAAGTTGTCAGTGAAGGTGCCTCCTGAATAAGATATTCAGTTCATGTCAGCCCTTCAGTTTAATTTGTTTTTATCCTGCTAGCAAAGGATCCAAAAGTATTTTATATAGTGTGAGATTAAAATAATGAGAGGATGTTTGCAGGCTGATATATCCAATCTTCATAGTGCCAAGCAGTCAGCCTTTCATCTTTTCCAGGTCTAAAAACTTATCTTATTTTCTCTAGACACTTGCTCTTCACTACTAGAAACCTGGATCTTCAAAATTTGTCCTGAAAACTTTTTTAGCTAGATGGTGAAAAAAAAAAAAAAAGTATTCCTGGACATTAATGAGTTGCCCACACACTGACTGCTATAAATAAGATTTGGACCTGAATATCACATTGCTTATTCAAATTTCTTGTGTCTTTTTCATTGGCAGAAGAAAAATGAATGATCAGTAATAAAAAATAATGCAATATAGTAAAACTCTACTATTATGTGGGTTAATTTATCTTTGGCTAAATTATGGGGTATGACTATATGGCCTTCCCATTTTTAAACACAAATGGACTGTAATTGAGATGGTTTTGTCATTTTTTTTTTGCCAGTGCTTGAAGTTCTGCATGATTTTGTATTGAGAAGCCATTCTTTCATCAGTCTTACTAGTGTTATCTGAGCTTAATCTGGGGTATACTTTATAGCCAGTGATGAAAGGCCTAAAGTAAGCAGAAGTTATGTATTTGTTGGTGTTAATGACAGCATGAATAGAATAGTTTGGTAATCTTAACACCAGTTATAACTATCACTACTAGATATTAAGTAGCACCTGGATCTCATATCAAATAAGATTGTGTAAATGAAATCATTTTGAAGAGAACAAAGCATAGCAGTTGATACTTCTGGGGGTTTCTGCCCAATACATTGACTCTTTCCCTTGCCAACCCCCCCCCCCCCCGCGCAGTCCATCCCATGGGGTGGGCTTGCTGATAATCATGTTTATATTACACAACCCTTAAGCCTTGACTCATGCGTTTGACTTCCTGATGCATATTTGATTCAAGCTAGGCCACTAAGATTCTCTTTATGAGTAGTTGAGACCAAAACCCAGCTAAAACTATATATATAATTTGGGAGCAAGAGGTAGTTTTATTCAGTATATTGATGGAGAGGCAGAGTAAATTCAGTCTTCCAAGAGGAAAACAAGGCAGGTAAGTGAGGAGAGAGGACTTCTTAGTTCCTGACATCTGGCCGTTTCTGGTTCTGATTCCTTGTTAATTCACACAACATATTTGTATTCCTATAACAAATTCTTCCTTTAGGTTTAGGTTAAGTCAGTGTGGTGTCTGTTTCTGTAGTCAAAGAATTTAGACCAGTGAAAATGATGGTATTATTACTATGGGCTGGTAATCAACTACTCTGTAAGCAGTTAGTTGATAGTTATGAATTTTTGTTTATTTTATAAGTTGGTAAGTTATGTTTTTTATTTTTAACACTTTGCTTTTCTGATGTGTTTTACACTAAAGAATGCCTCCCCAAGATAATATGAATAGAAATTTACATCAAAAAATAGTAAAAAACCATAAAATTTATATCTGGTAGAAGGGATAATAATGAGTTATAGTGTACATAATATATGCCCAATATTGTAAAAAGATAGTAGAAGAGAAAGGAAATTGTTCAGAAAATGCGTCTTTTTAGTAGTTGAAATTGTATGTCAAAATGGATGGCATGTGGATCATTCTGCAGCAAGAAAAAAATATGGCTATTGATTAAAATAACTTGAGAGTGGTAGTTTACAAAATTATGGTCCTGTGTTATTTGTGCTTTTTAAAAGATAGTAGCTTATGTTTTTATGTTTAGACTGCTAGTAAATATATAGTTTAGCAGAATAAAAAACTTGCATCATGTTCTATATTTTTATCATTGCATTGCAGTTTAATGAAATCCATAATTTACCTCATTGACATGACAACAAAAAGCATCAAGATATAATTACAATCAGAATATTGTTCATCTAAGTGCTTTAGTTGTAAATATCCAGGATTGATGATTATAGAATAATAACTCATAATGGTATGCAGTGAAATGGGGATTGTTTGATAATAGATAAAGAGGTGAAAGAAGAGAATTATGTATCTATTTAACCTGAAAGTTGCCAGCAGGGAATTAATTTCACTTGTCAAAGACATGTGATCAAATTTATTACCAGGTGTGTTCAAATACTATTACCAAGTCTATGAGAACAGACTTGCTGTGTTTGCAACTTGTTTGCAACAGCCTTTCAAGGAGTTAGGTTCACACATTTTCATTTTGACTTGGGAAGGTTAACTTTACTTGTTACTTAGAAGGATGCACCCATAAGCAAAACATCATGATTTTTAAAAAGTACTAGATCGGGGCACCTGGGTGGCTCAGTCATTAACTGCCTGCCTTCTGCTCAGGTCATAATCCCAGGGTCCTGGGGTCGTAGTTTTGAAAGCAAAGATGTGTATCCTTTGAAGTTTAGTGCCATGAATGTCTTGTTGCAGAGAAATCTACCTAGAAATTTAAGCCCACATCTGCAAGAGTCTACAAGATAATTTCCACCAGATACCCTCAAGTATCATCTGACACCAGGATTTTTCTTAGGAATTGTATTAAATTTCACTTCTTATAATTCTACATTCCTGCAACTTTCTAGACCTTTGCAGCATTTTTGCTCTGGTAGCTTCCCAGCTCCAATTCTGGTTACTTGGAAAGAGAAGGGAAATGAAACCAAAGAAACAAAAAGACTAATGCAAAGAATTCTACTCAAATGCCCCAACTAACTTGATTAAAGTATCTTTGGAAAAATGTTGATAATTTATACTTATTTTTAGATATTCCAACTAGGAAAAAATTGTGAAATGAATTCTACAGTGGAAAAGGCTATTTTCTTTTTCATTATCTCAGTAAATGTTAATGCATTAAAATCAATGTCATTGCTGTGAGTAGGTGGATTTTTAGTTATGAATTGAGGAGTATTGTGGATACTCTTTTTCTCCAAAACGACCTTCCCCAGTGTCTGATTGCGAGGCCTGAAATCCCAGTCATGAGAACTCTCATCTGTGGTAAGCACTGCCTTCTCCCTGTGGTTCTCTTTTAGAACTCCAGTATTCCTGAGAGTGAAAAAAGTGATAAACACATATATATTTCCTTCCTGATATGGAGATATCTTGGGCATCCTGAGAACTTGGAGGAATTGGTGAGGAGAAGGATAAAATGCCAGACATATTAAATGGACATTTATTGAGCGCTTACTACATTCTCTAGCAATGTCCAAAAATTTCTATGATGATGAACATGTTCTGTATCTATGCTATTCAGTACAGTAGATGCCAGCCACATGTGACTACTGATTACTTGGAATATGGCTTGTGTGACTGAAGAACTGAATTTTAAATTTAATTTT